GGAACAGACAACAAAAGGCTCATTGTCTTAAAAAAATTAAACATAAACAATAGGCAAAGCTTGATACGGAGTGTAGGATCTATCGAAATTGTCCCTGAAGATGTTTTCTTGCCAATTCGGGTACTACCCATTCCGAATGTCACGCGATCAAGTGTTTCATCAGAAGATAAAGTGAAATTCCATGTCAAATGTGCCTCAGAAGAACCGTTTATTACTTGCTGGATTGTTGTTCGAGCTGATGAGTCGCTTAATTGCAACGGGCCACGTTGTGGAGGAGGAAGAATCCATGTGATAGTAGCATCTGAAATAAGTGAAGTCAAAGTTCGAACAGATCTAACGGGGTGAGACTTAAGGATAGTAAAGTTCATCCTCAATAACAATATTAGGCAAATACCCGTTACTGTTATTTGAGAAAATAATGTGGTATAAGCAAGTAACGTTCATATCTACATGTAGACGTTAAAATCCCTAATATTCTCCTTCTCTTATTCCGTCCCCTCCTTCCATCATGCACACACCTTAATGAAACTCCCTGCGATATTTTAGAGGCACACACTCACCACGACCTTTAACGGCTGGTACTAGACTGTCTATAGGCCTTATGAGACTACTGGCGTGAAAAGAGATGATGATCATGATGTAATGTCATGAAACCTGCGCATGCAACGAAAGCCATTTACCGAAATCTCGAATCGAAATCTAGTTCTGGACAACTTTGGACTGCACGATGTGGATAAGTTCAACTGAGCTCTATTTAGAACGAGCATAGCCTTGAGCAGGATAAAAAGGGGCCCAGAAAATTCCCCAACAACCCAGATGTTCGTGGAAAGACCGCGGGGAAAAGGTTTACGTAACACTGGGTAACTTGTAAAATGACATAACTGTGTAAAAACACATTTTTTTTCTTCATTGTGCGTCTGCAGTGTGACTTTTGTACCTAGTTTGCATTTTGTACCGGGTCTGCATTTTGTACTTCGGGCTGCGGTTTCAGAACGCATTATGTACTGATCGTTTGTAAAACGAATCTTATTACTTAGGCGTATCCCAAAGGGCGCCCAAGTTTAAAATTGCCCTTCATTTTTGTTTGCGTTCAGTCACAAATCGCCGTCTGGTCTCTAAAGCGTATGCGTCACCTGTGCATGCGTACAGCACAGGGAATTTACAGAAGTTGTCGTCGTGAAAAGTTAGCACGGATTCCATGATTTCTGGGGCGATGAAATGATA